AAAAAGTATAAAATGATAGACAAATGGAAAATAAAAACTGTTTACGGAATTATTTTTAGGGAAAAGGCTCGAATTCAATCATCATTGTAATACTGGTGTGATTAAAATCACTATTTAAATCATGATAAAAATCACGATTTAAATCATCTTGACTTTTATTCTCCACGCTTAGTTAAGGACACAACGACTCCAACCTTCCACCGTGCTTTTTACGAACACACCATGGCAATTGTCGCTGGCAATTGATAATCCTAATGGTGAAGATCACAGATAAGAAATGCGAGAGAGTGCCATTGAAATAACTCCCCCCTCCCTCCCCAATCGACGAGCAATCTTCTCGATGCGCAGATGTTGATATGATTGGGGGATCTCCCGAGCATTGCGAGAAAAGGATCTTTTTTATGTCCGTCAAACATTGGCAATTGGCTCACGTGCACGGGACTTCGCGAGGGTAGGCTGCACCACAATGCGCTTGGAAGCCGTGTCTTTGGCATTCCTTCGATCAGTTCATTGAATGAGAAGGACGAGAGTTATCAGAGTCCAACGAAATAACTGCACGTCCACGTTTTTTGCTGAGCAGGATGGGAGTGAGTCATTGGAAACTACAACACGTCCAACAGAGTGTAAAAAAAAACAAAAAAAAAACGAACAAAAAAAGTATTATTTTAGCAACGCCATCTGCACACGAAGAACCAGGAAGCGAAAACAGCGTACCGCTTGTCTCTGCACCGATTATATATTCCTGTAAGCACCCGAAGCTCCGCTGAAAAGATCAAGGGGAAAATACTATGTTCATTTCGCCATCAAACTTACCAAGAAAATGCACGAACGCACGGATGTTGTGTGCGTGTTGCAGAGTGCGCAATAGAGTTAGCTGCACCTCGGCTCTCTACGCAATTCACAAAAAAAAATATATATTTTTTTTAATTTGTTTGAACCCTTTTTCGAGTATCGAACGCCATCTGGGCGTTAGTATGTGGACTACAAATGAAGGGCAGTCCAGCATGCCTTCGATTATTAGAACACACTGGCATCGCGCGGTCTCATCGGTTTTGATTGCTTTCTTTTATGCTCCATATACTATAATTGCGGGCGGGAGAGACGCGTGAACAGCTTTGATATGCGCTCAGTCTGAGAAAGGGCACGTGTGCCCGTACCTTTGAATGGATTACCACAGAGAGTTTCCCCAATTATATGCAGCTAAATAAAAACAAAGAAAAAGTAGGGCTGGGCATTTGATCGTTTAATATACCGATCAATCGATTAATGATATAATTGCGATTATTTTTGTTAACCGGTGGGTCGGTTTAATTTTCCCTAAACGAAACAAAGAAAGTAAAAACTCGACGCGTTCACCACGCAGACGTGGACGAATACACTTGTATACAAAGGCAAACTTAAGGTGACATTTTGACCTAAACTGTAGGGAAAAGATTTGTAACCATACAAGCGGAGAAGGTTATACGTGTCGCAGTCATATCAAGGTCGTGCGGGTGTCCATTTCTCAGTTCGCTATTGCCGGGAAGTATAAACGCACTTCGATGCCTCTGCGGCTGAAGTAATCATTCGCGTGTAGGTATGTTTGTCTTTTTTGGACGATACAATCAAGGTTGTTTTAAAATCTGAAATTTTAAATTTTTAGTTTATTACATGTTCAAAAAAAAAATGTAATTTTGATTTTTTTTAGATTACTACGCAAGGGAATTAACAAAGCCGATGAATCGAGTAATTTAATCATTTAAAAAGTGGTGATTTATGGGGTTAAAAGCTTTAATCGTTGCTCAGCGTCCTCAAAACAGAAGAAACACTCGCAAAGATATAGATGCTGAGAGTGCTTGTCGTGCGGGTGGGGCCCTCCGAAAATGGCAACAGCTGGAAGCAGTGGCCAGGTACCAGGGTGTAGAGAATGTTCGCATGTGCTGCAAAAAGGTCCACCGACGCACGATGTGTACTATCCCAAAAAGCAGGAACAAGCGGGCAATATGCTTAGACTCGGCACAAAATATAGACAGCCTGCAGGGAAATGGTTCTAAGCACCGCATGCGAGCTTCGTCGTGTTTTGCGCGTTATGTTTTGTTTGTCGTGTTTCACATGTGGCACCGCAATTTGCGACGCTCGTAATGTGACCACATGTGAGCGGCTCGGTGCGCGGAGCGGTGGAGACCGCAAACTGCGAAAGCAGCTGTTTTGTGTGTGTTTCTCCCCAAACGATATGCGCCGGTTGTGTGGGTTTGACTACACGAAAGTAAGTTGCCGAAAGTAAGAGGTTTGCTGAAGCACTATATACGCTTTAAACTCACTGCACGTAGAGCCAATCACTACGGTTCTTAATCTGCGCCCAGAGAATTATGACGCCCAATCATGAGAATGACCTCACAGCTACTCATTTTTTACGCGCTAATTGCGCTTTCAATGAAAAGTAGATTTTTATGCCTCGTTATTGGCAGGACACGTCCGTAGGTGTCAGTGATTGGTCCTTCGCGTAAAGCCGGCGAATGTAGATGCAAATATTTTATAGTCTTAAAGAGGTACGGAAACAAAAATTGAAGTATTCAATTTTCGATCGGAAATGAGTCATGCATGACGGATAATAACCGTAAATGGTAATCGCACGTTTGTATTTTTGAACGACTGGCTGTATCTTTCGTTCCAAACAGTGCACTCGAGCCAGCGATCGAAGAGAAGCGAACGGAGAGCGCGATGCGTCATGGGATATCCGGCGCAAACAAAAACAGAAAGAAAAGATTTCCCACGTTCGTGGAGTAGCAAGGCAGGCGTGTTTATGAGCTTTGCCCTTGGTGGCGTTGTCAGCGTTGTGGTGGTGTCAATAGCGTCAACGCGTTACAACCAAGTCGTTCAAAGTGCCTGTGGGGTGACCTGCGTGTGGCTGGCCCAAGGAGCACGTGGCTTCCACAACACAGTCAGCGTAGGGCTGAACGGGGTGGGGAAAGCAACTTTTGTTCGAGTTTTGAGGGACGGGCTAATCTTCTAGGGGGAGAATGGCTGTGTCCGGTTGCACGAACGAAGGTCCGAAAAAGAGGGGAGTACTTCCTTTCTGTCTTCTTGGACCGTTTGGTACAATGCGCGATTTGTGAGTTCAGGAGGAAAGCTAAGAAGGAAAATGTTGAAATCCCAAAGGGCGGCGCTGCTCCGAAAGAATCTTCTACGTCACGACTACGTAGCAGATTCCACAACGTTGCTAGACTACCTCCCAAATAGGCTCCGCATGCATCCACCAGGTGCACATTCAAAGATCGTTTATTTGTAGCTTTAAAATTAGTTTTCTTGTGCTTTTCAACGGAAGACTGATCTTTTTGAGGTTAGGGTGCAACATGCAACACATTCAAGCTAGAAAATTTGTGACCACATATGAGCGCTGAAATTTTGTTTCCCATAGAGTTCCTGTATAGCTACCTACGGTACCAGAGTTGCGCATTCAGCCTCGGCGCGTGGCCGTAGCGCCGGCTTTCCCGCATGAGGTGGATGCTTTGCTCCTCACGTGACTAAATTTGGCGAATAGCGGCGCCGCGCGCGCCGCCGCGCATGGAAAACAGGAAAGGAGGAAAAGGAGGCGGAAAGCAGGGAAACGTACGCCGGGGCAAGAGAAACGTCGGCGGAGCGACCGTAAAGGTGGCTTTCTTGCACGCCAACGGATGCTTTGCTCCTCACGTGATGGATATCGGCGAATAGCGGCGTGGCGGCGCGGGGAAAACAAATGCGCAACTCTGGCTCCCGTAGGGAGCCTATACAGGAACTCTAGTTTCCCTACCCCTTTAACGCTCGAAGAGTCAGTAGCGGCGTGTTTGAAAAGTACAATGACGTCAAGAAAAAAAAAAGAAGCCAAAAGAGAAAGGGGAAGTTTACGTACACACAGGATCTAAAAGCGGAAAGTCGCGGTGCACACTCTCTAAGCATGATTCGAGGAGTCGGTGGATGAGCACGCACAAAAAGAGGGGCAAACCTCGTGGCATTGCACTTTCGACGATGCTCGATTGATTGGCCCATCGAGAACGTAACGTTGGTTGCGCTTAGATCTTAGGGTGAAACGAAGTACTCCATTTCACGCTAGAGAGATTTAGGGAAATGTTTTTTGCACATCCGATATGGTACGATGGGCCCTCCGGTGCGAACTGCGCATGCGCTACCGTGTAAGACTCGCGCATGCGCAGTGCGTACCGGAGTGCCCATTGTACCGAATCGGTTGTGCAGAAACGGATCTCTAAAACCGACGTTAAGATCCGATGGAGCGAAAGCAGGGTCTGTTCAGGTACATTCACTCACGCGTGTCCGGTAGACTTTTTTTTCCCTCGATATTTTTATACGTAACTCCCCAATGTATGAAATAAAATAAAATGACAAAAAAACTGAAAGAAAGAAGAAAAAAAAAAGAAAACAGCATTTCTCGAGAAAAGAAAAAAATTAAGACTGCACTAGAACGGCGGCGCCCTTTTGGCATTTTGTCATTTTAGCAAAGTATGACAACACGTAATAGACAAAATAAAAATTGTAAAAGAAAAAGGCTCAAATATTTTAGAGGTCGTAGTCTATTCTGCTTCTACTCACGACAATTTGCACAATTCTGAAAACTGTATATATGGCGCATCAAAAATGCACAGACCTGGCTTTTTATCAACAGATCCAACAGCACCAAAAGTGCATCGTCACGACGTTCGTTGCCTTTGTGCATTTACTAACACCGGTGAAAGCATTCACGCAATTAAAAAAAAACAAAAAAACGGAGGATTACGGCGCATTCAGTGTGCGTAACAAGGGAAATAAGAGAAAAACGTATTCCGTGCTCGGAGTGGTGGTTGTCCGAACTAAGGACACCTTCTCTTCGATCACACATATATCCATATGTATTTTACGGCCGTGACCGCATACCAGCAGCTGCGGCCGCTGCGAGTTCATTAAGCCAGAAATCTGGTGGAGTGTACTGTGGTAGAAACCAGTCGAAGAGAACCGATCTTAATGTGCACCTTGCCGTTGCTCCAGGTACACGTGCCGGAAAAGTAGGCACTGCCGACCAGGCCGCCGCCGGTCGCGAGGTCCGCTTTTCATGCGCCCAAGCGGGAGTCTCCAATGGAATCTCTCGCCCTACAAGGTAAGAAAGAGAGGCGTGGTTTCTGGCTTCTGCGCTGCCGTCTATACAGTCTCTTGCAGGATGAGAGTAGCAACGCGACAAGCTCATCACACAAAGCCCTCTACTCTTTTTTCACTTTAGCAAATCGAATTCTGGAGAGGAGGAAACTACCGATTATGGCGAGCAGAGAGCTCTGTGGGGACGAGATTGTCCGGCTATTCTAAACCTGCAACAGGCTATAGGAACAGTTGATGAGCACGGTGCGGTCGTTACATGATCATTTATGTAATTATAGTGCGCACACGTGCGTGTCTAAAAATTGCCATTTGAAAGTATGCGGTATACAGTAATGTAGACGCAGCCTTCATTTCCAACGATCTACCAAGTGATATGAATTTTTTATATGGATCTTCGTTACGCAGAGAAGTTAATGAGGTTCATAGTTTGTCAAACAGCCCTGTTGTGGTGACACAATATTAGAACTGAATTTAGTTTATTCGCGTGAAATGGTAGATGCAAATTGTGGCGGTCTCTGTAAATGGTCATGCGCACGCGGACCTACGCTACGAAAATACTAGCGCATCTGCTTCACGGCAGAACGGAAAGATGATCATCCATGGAGGCTTGGTACCTTGAGCACGTTTTGGCGCATGTATTCTGTGAGCACTAAGTCATCGGTTCAGGAAAATATTATTTAGGGAGTATAAATCATTCGCTCTGCGTTATCCCTATATGTGTAGCAGTGAGTGAGTGTTCACTTGCTCCAGGAGATAGTGAACCCGCTGGTGGGTGTTGTGAGAGTGTGCCATAGGAAACGCTTCAAGAAGTTCAGAAGAGTTGTGCAACTCCGTCAGTGTAGGCCGCAGGCTCGGAATAAGGATGCCACCATTTTGATGTTGTTCCCCGAGTTTGCTTGCCATCTCGAAGTGAGCGGCACTACACTCAGGGACTGCTGGGAACTGGGAACGTGGTATTTTCGAAACAAAACGAAACAAGATACGATACAAAATATCAGGGAGGTTAGTTTTGAACACATGGATATAGCAGTTCTATTCAGCACTAAGTTATCGAAAAATAGCTTAAGGTTATGCGAACTGCATCCTCAGAACTGACGAGCAATTGGGATATGTATGATTGTTGCCATTTCTTTCTTTTTTCATTTCTCTTTATAGATGTGTCTGCGGATTTGACGCCCAAAATTATATCCAGTCGAAATGGACAGCATTTACCTTCATGCGCAACACCGCCAAGAATCAGTGTTAGTTGGAAGAATCTATCTTACAGTGTGCCCACATCAAAAGGTGAGAGACACCAAGGTCTGCCATATGTACGCGGCTCTGCGTTTGGGTAGTGTTCAAGCAGCCACGGTGTACGACTTTTACTTTAGAAGCTCCCCAAGTAACTTACAGTCGGGGAAAGGTTAAGGACCTAATAGATGCTTGGCCCCCAACGCGCTCGGTGACTTCCGCCGGGGTTTTGCTGCCCGTGCACCGAAGTGTTACCAAAGGGAGAAGGCTCGCACTGGGGCGGAACATCCACTCGGTTTTTAAGTTGTCGCGGGCTATAGTGCAGCACCAGGCGCACGCACTGCGCAACAGCCCGATTGGCTTAAAGACGTCGACGTTTTTTGTTTTGTTTTTTATTTTGTGTAGACTACCGGCAAGCATAATCGCTTACAGCGTAAATTGGTGGCCTGAATGGTCTCTGTACACCACACTAGAAGTTTTAATGACAACCTTTGAGTTAAAAAAAAGGAAAAAAAAAAAAGGAAATCGCATGAAAACGAATTACGAGGCAAGAAGATCTATGCATAAGCCACGCCTTCTGTTTCTTGAGATGTCAGTCACTACGACTGTGTATAGTCACTGACATGTTGAGAAACGAAGGAAGCGGCTTCTCCTCTCATGCTTCTTGATTTCTGATCTCTGGTTTACAGTTTTTATCGTCTTGTGCTGCAATCTAACTGACTGCAGAGCGATACTAAAACACTCCAAACTCGCCGCGTCCAACATTTCTTAAGCTGTTGGTGATATAATTGTGTAGCGCATGTACCTACAGGTTCTCATTTGAATTTTTGTACGCCAAAGGTGAGGGACACTGCGCTGTATCACTCTCATAAGTTACCTGGTGTAAACTGCACCGTGGGGTCTTAAAACATCGGACATTCCTCGTCCTTTCGTCAAAGTAAAACATTATGACTGTGATTGGTATTCCGCCTCTTTTATGGCAGTTTAAGGTGGGCACGTCTTTGTAGGCTGCGTTATCTATGCACCGTTACAACGCTCGCCCCTCTCATTGTCTGAGCTGATTAAAGCGTAGCCAGTAAGAGGGCGTCACGGTGTAACATGGTATCAGGGACTTGTGACATTGTATAGCTGAAAACAACTTCAGAAACGCACGGCGTGTTAAGTCCGAACGCCGAAGAAGGAATCACGAAGCAAGAGTGATTATTATATGCCACAACCTGTTTGTTTCTAAGCAGACAGTGAGAATAGAGTTTTATCCGACTATTTTTCATCACCGTTCGTGTGACATCTCTGCGGTTACCCAAATCCTATTAGGAAGAATATTTGGGGAATTACTTTTTTCTCGTTTTCATTCAGTAAAGGGAAACTGCATTCTTTTTTTGTAATAACTTTACGCCATATGAGTTTGAGTGTGATCTACACCCTGGCGCCATCTGTCGGATACCTTTGGCATACTTCTGATATGCTTACATTACAATCTGAAGTGTTGGGCTAGTTGGTTTGAGGTGAACATCTTCGCTGTTTCTTCCCAAGATGTTCCCGTACATCACCTATTTTTTTACACAGATAAAAAATTCACATTGGGCTTCAAATAATACTGGCCATGTTAGAAGCAACCCTTTCTCATATAGTGGCTCTTATATTTGATCTCGAGAATACTCCGAAACTTTCAGTCTAGTTACACGCAGATCGCAAGTGTTTCCGGGGGTACCTGATAGATGGCGCCCATGTGCCTGTGTGTTCTCTCGACGTCGCCGTTGACGAGCGGTTGGAACGCAATCGAACGATCCCGACTTTGCGTTTCATGTTTGTCCGAATAATCAGCCTTGGCAATTCGTGTTTGTCCTAAGGACTCGAATGTTTCTAAAATCGCGCGACGTTACGCCTTCCAGGCAAGAAGAAAAACCTCCTGAACGACCTCTCCGGGAACCTGAGGTCTGGAGAGTTGACCGCAATCCTCGGACCCTCAGGTGCCGGAAAGACAACCCTGCTCAACATATTATCTGGCTTCCAGTAAGAACTACGTTGTCTTTTATCGATCAAGAACAGATCAAGAACAGATGTTCACGTTTTTTGTCTCCGCGATTTGGTCTTGGGCGTTCGCATCGGCTAATAGTGCACTCTCATTGGCTCCGATGCGGTGATGAGATGCCCATGGACACTCCACGCCCTGCGATTCTGAAGCTGCTTGTGATTGCAGTATTTTGTTTTTGTTTCTGATTTTCTCAATTGGGCCACTGGCTACACGGCCACTTGCGCGAAAAGGCTATATTTCGGTAAATGAGAACTGAGAACTTGATTTCCTCTTTTACAGGACCCGGGGTTGCCAGGGACAACTCTTTGTCAATGGGCAAGCTACGAAGGAGAAGAGCTTCCGTAAACTGAGCAGCTACATCATGAACGGGGACAATCTGATACAGCACCTGACGGTACGAGAAACCATCGACGCGGCGGCCAGGTTGAAGATGCCGGAAAACAGCACGTACCAGCAAAGAGATGCCCTGGTACGAAACTGTGTTGCTCTTGGACGGAATGGTGACCGAATAATTTTTTTTCTTTCTTTATTTGTTTTGCGGAGTTTGTTTCCGCAGAGGGGGCAGAGATAAAGGCACAATGCCTGACAATTTGAGGGGGGGGGGTGTCATGTCACTGGTATAAATACCACATAGATACCGATAAGGTCTGCCTGCTCTCCTCCATAACGTCCCACTAAAGGTCTGATACCGGGCAGCGCTACCGTCGATTCGCTTCCTCTCTCACATTTGTTTGGCATAGTCGCGTGACTTCGTTGGCGCGCCCAATGGCCAACGGCTTCCGGACGTACAGGGTTACGTTGAGTGTCGTGAAGAGGAACAGTGCCAAAGGCCTTGCATCTAGGTGGTGTTGGTCATGTGCGAGATAAACTAACCTGCCTAATGGCACATTGGGAAAGATTGGGTTTTCTTCTGAGCCAGTGAACAAACTTTCAAAGTCGTGACCTTCCGTGTCTTCAGTCACGCTCACGCTGCTGATGCATCATACAAAAAAAAAAAAAAAAAAAAAAAAAAAGTGTGCAGACACTCCCAGTGTGATGTTAGACTTGACTGTATTCGAAAAGAAGGTAATTTGTCAAGATATTTAAGTTTCTTATAAAATGTTTGCTTTTCCAATAGCGTAAATTAGGTTGCGAAGAATTAAGACCGTTGGTTGTTTCAGTGTTTCTGTTGTATCAAGATGAACTCAAAAATGGTCTCAATAACAGGTGACGAATCTCCTCAAGTCCTGGGACCTGGACGGCTGTGAACACAGAGCCATCAGGCATCTCTCGTCCGGACAGAGAAAGAGGGTTACCGTAGCGCAAGAGTTGGTCAACACTCCACCGGTGATATTCCTCGATGAACCCACAAGGTGAGAGCTGACAGTTATCGAAATAGTTACCCTCATATTATATGAAAGAGCATATTATGGAATTTAAATTTACTGTGCAGCGGGTCGGTAAAGTAGACTTGACCCAGAAAGAATAAAACAAACTCCGGACAAGTATGCGACGAACGCCATATTTCATTCTCAAGGAAAATATATGTTCTTCATTCCTCGTCCCGAGTTTTTTTTTTTTTTTTCTGTATTAAGTTAATAAATATTACACTTAAAAAAGCTTGAGAAGTCCCTCCAAGATAAACTGTAAAAAATAAATACGTCTACTTTTTCCGCCATGCACTTGGGATAGCCGCTCATTGCAACCTACAGAGGGACGCTGAAAATTTATTTACAGACATTGGACAACAATCTGCGCTGTGACACTGAGCTCGACGTTTCAACTTGCTTACGATAGGCTCATGACTGTCACGGTGCACGCAGTCTTTTTTTAGGCCTAAACATTATTTCAGCCTCGTCATTGGCCGAGCTCCCTCGAAGATTGCAGCTATCGGCTATCTTAAATTGTTTGCAAAAAAATATACGCACTGCCTTCTTTTTTCTTTTTTTTTTAGTGCGCAGGTTTCGCTAAACACGTCCAGTCACCATAGTTGCTTCGTTCGAAGCTCTGCAATTGTTTTAACAAGCATTCATGTGCTCCGAGTTTTAATATTTGTCTACTTTTTTCAATAAGGCGTTTTGAAGAAAGTAGTCGACTAAGTTGTTTAAATGTTTTTAGAGGCTTAAGGGTGCAAGTTATTACGTGGCAGAGAAACAAAACGAGAAATACACAAACAGCGTTTGACTTGCTGCAGGTCTACTTGGCCTTTTGACGTGTATCCGTTGTGCGTGCTCGCATTCTAGAGGCAGATTAACACACTTGCGTTTAGATGCCACCGAGTATATGTTATGCTCCTTAATCAGCCAACAAAATAGGAAATAAACGCGAACCGCAGGTGCTCTAGGGCTATCAGATAGATGGCGCCAGTGTGCTCCTGCTCTGGTCGTTAGTGATCACATCTGCACACATCAAACAAGGTTGCAACCAAACACAGCCTCAAATCCACACACAGCCTCAAATCTCAAAAGAAAAGGGTTTCAACACTCAAGCAGAAATTAAACGTCCATCTGATCATTTGTTTTTTCTTTGATGCAGTGGCTTGGACAGCAGTAGCTCACTGCAGTGCATCATGTTGCTGAGGGAGTTAGCGACCAGGGGTCTTACCATTGCCTTCAGCATACATCAACCAAGTTCGAGGCTCTTTCAACTGTTTGACAGAGTATGTTTCTGCTAGAAATGTTTGTGAAACATGAAACCTTCGAGGTCCGTTTTATATCGTGATCCTTGTCGAGACCTTGTCCCGTTAAACAGAGTAGTGTGATATCAAATGCTCGGAATTACTGCTAAGCTTTATGGAAAAAATGCATGTGCGTGAGCTCAACACAATCATAGTAACAGACGCGGAATGTGCCGGGTGTAAAGCATGTTTCTGTTACTTCACAACCAATAATAATACGGCATTAGCCGTTAACAATACCGAGTAACGAATTATAATTCAAGAAGTGTGAACATTATAACTTATAAGCCGTGCCCTGCATTTGTTGAGCTCTCAGTGACTATAGATACTCAGCCCCCCCCCCCCTCCCCCCCTTGACGACAATAAGGGTTTGATAACTGGTGGTGCGGCTGTTGATTCGCTCGCTTTCCTCCACCTGTTATAACATTCGCGTGACGTTGCTGGCGCGGCTAATAGCCATGGATGTATAAACAAACAGTATTACCAGATACTCTACTGGTGAGAATAGATTTAACTCCGCATATTAGCATTAGACGGCGCGTCTACGGCGTGGAGGGAGAGGGCTGCCGACGGTGCACCGAGATACCGGACTCGCCAAGACGGCAGAGACGGCTGCCTCCGCCGTCTCGACGGGTTTCTAGGACGATAGATGGCGGTAGGCACTCCTCCCAATTGAAAAGGGAAACCCCCAAGGCTGCGCGCATCCAGCGGTTTCATATACGCAAACCTCGTCGGCGCCAGGACCATTGGGGTTTTTGCGGAGTGAGATGAGTTACCCTAGTAAAGTATCTGGTGTTGCGTTGAGGTTTCTGAAAGAGGGGACACTGCAAAGACCTTTTATCGAGGTATGTGATTATCTTGATATACTGCATTACACAACCCAGGAATACAGTCAGGAATAGCAATGGCGGCATTTTCATTCCCATGCTATGCCAAAAAAGAAATATCGTCGTGTTATGGTTTTCTACATTCCAAGCAATCGCGATCTTCAAGATTCCTGATATGCATCTCTAACTAACAATCACGCAATAAAGCAATGCCTAACGTACTGTCTTTCGGGGCGTCCACTTTCTCGGGCTTGTATTGCTTTTAGAGAGAAAATAAAAGAAGGTAGTGGAGAGATTGAAATCTTTTGTTCCAGTCATGCTTCGCTCGTGTGCAGGTAGTTTTCAACCAACCTTAGTTACTTCAAAAATTGAATCATCACCAATATGCTTTTTTTTACTTTTAATTTGTGAATTAACAAAGACGTGCTCCTTGCAGTGCTAGGTCGGGAAATATACTCTTTTCGAAAGTTACAACCATTTCGTGGCAATCTAGAAAGCTCCGATATATCCGTTCTAATTGCATGATCGGAGAACAAGCTCGTCTATACCACGCACCCCCGACTTCATTAATCAAGGCCGCGTACAAAGACCAACTTCTTAGAATTAATTCCCCGCTTTCGACTGTATGCTTTACAAGACGTTCGCTTTCGCTGGAGTGAAGAAGCTGGGTAATGGAGGCATTAGTGTGTCGAGTTTGCCTCTGGACAGGGTATGTGATTCAGCCATTACGTACTAATCACCTCAATCAAACGCTTCGTTACAATAAATGTGGACAATATGGAATAACATTACTAAAAAGGAATAGATCTAGCAACATTATCACATGAGGCACTCATCGAGCTCATTCTTTCTATGTGATTCTTCCCGAATAGTAATATCATTTACTTTTCAAGCAAACTTTACATTATATTAGATAAGATCAGATTGCATGTCGCTAAACTTTAATAAATGTAAATCCTTTTCATTTTCCCGCAGTTCACGTGCCACATCATTTTCGTATTACTTTGCTAACACTCAAGTAAGAGCCTGCTCATCTTATAAATACCTGTGTGTTCATCTCACCTCTGACCTATCATGAACTACTCACATTACCTCTGTTATTGCTGATATTAAGCGTACTCTCGCATATTTGCGCCCTAACCTCCAACTTGCTACACTTTCCGTAAAACGACTAGCGTATACTACACTTCTAAGATCCAAGTTAGAATATGCCTGACTTATGTGGCCTCCATGGCAGTCATACCTCACGAATCGTCTAGAATTCGTTCAATCCAGAGGCCTTTGTTTTATTTATAATACCTACTCAACATATACCAGCATATTAGAATTACGACAATCGGTTAACCTTTATTCACTTTTACTTCGCCATCGAGAGTCACGCGTCTTTTTCGTTCATCGAACTTTCTATTACAATATCCACCTCAGATAATCATTACTATCACCTCACCAGGCACTTTCTCACGTTTAGATCGCCCATGTAAACTACGTCCAATTCGATCATCAACTGTTTCTCACAAGACTTCCACACTACGATTGGCTATCGAGGGTCGGAACTCACTACCTCACAACATCGTTTCTATAAACGAGACTACTCAATTTGTTGAATCCATTACCCTCTTTCTATCTAGCTTAGCTAACTAGCTTACAGTGTTATATTTGTGTTTGCTGTTCTACTTCTGTTTTATTGCCACCCCTCGTATAATGCCCTGAGGGCCCCCGAGAAAAATAACTGACGATAATGATGATACTGTGCATTTGTGTATACATGTATACATGTGTATGTATGTATATGTATGTATCACGGGAACTTTCATCATCGCACGTGGTGTCATCAGAGAAAATAATCGAAAATATGCAGGTAACGGGGCCGTACTTGGTCGAATGAATCAAAGTTTACCAAGCCGCCGAAGTGTTTTGTCTTTCGGCGGCTTCGGAAACTTTGATTCATTCGATCAAGAATGGTCCATTCATCTGCATATTTTCGATTATGTGCATATGTATGTATACTATCCCTCTATCCACGTGTACACGGACGTATATATATATGTGTGTGTGTGTATGCGCGTGTGTGTGTGCACATTTGTATAGACAAGTGTGTATATGATTGATTTTTATTATTCCTATTTCATTAGTGATGTTTCTATTTCGTCTGTGTATTTGTCTAAAGCTAGTAAAATCTATCGCTTGTACAAAATTATGTAATTGTATTGTGTGTACGTTTATAGAGCCTGAAGTTGTTCTCCCTCAACGATCGACTTGTTATATACTTAGCTATGTTAACGTACGTTTAGTGCGTCGTGTAGCTTTTTTTGTATTCTATTTTTTTATGATTTGGAGTTCTGTTATGAACTTCGCGGGGGCTGGCACCTTCGTCAAGTTGCTATTAAGCAATTTTTGACCCAGTCTTCTGTTCTGATGCGCCGTCTTGACAAAAAATAATATTGATATGATTTCATAGTGCGAAATTCTAATCTCTACGTTTGCTGCCCACTCTTTCTTCTCTTCCTCCTTCAGCTGTACGTGTTAGCCGAAGGCTCCTGCATCTACAGAGGTCCCGCCAAAGACATGGTGCTCCATTTGAATGCAAACGGTCTGCAATGTCCTCCGTTCTACAACCCGGCTGATTTTTGTAGGTATAAGACACACTACGAGATCGACGCCAATCCCCGTGGGGTAAAAGAGCACAAGAAACTTCCGGCCATTTGCAGTATCCTGTAGATTTATCTGCTAAATTTAGATAGAACAGTTTATCCGCTAAGATCCGCGAAGGTTCTCATGGTGTCTTTTGACGTCTTGTGACATCATGTGACAGCCGAAGCGCTTTGACGTCTTGTGACTTGTGACAGCCGAAGCGCTGCCCACTATGGTAAATACAGACTGCGCACATGCACGCCACGTGACCTGACGATGACCTTGGCAAACTTCTCAGCTAAATTTAGCGGAAGAATTTCCCCTCTAAATTTACGAAATACATTTTTAAATTATGTTATGTGATACTGCGACGTTATGACACGACGTAAGCGAAACACTCGTTGGCATCCCGCTGCGAAACTTCATCATTTTTTTAAATTATTTTTTTGTGAAAATGTTGGAAAGTGAAGGATATTATAATTTCCGTTATTATATCAACAGCTGTCACCGCCCAAGGTTATGAAATGCACATCACGTTGCACAAATACACTTGGAATGTGCTTTCTGCCCTTGGAGGGCGGGAACTGAAAAGGGACAAAACGCGCAACAAATTGATCCTTCCATCCCCATATGGTCTATTTTCTAATTTGCTAAATATAGGGACGCAGGTGCCTTGTCAACCGTATTGTTCCAACTTTTTTTTTTCATCTTTAGCTTTCTTTTTTTTCACAGTGAATGGGTTGGTTTTGATTGAGCTGGCTTTGTAAGTTGTTCATATACGAGCTTCCATTGCAGTAGTGATTTTTATAGGGCATATGCCATAAAATCATACAAAAACATAACAAATTTCTGTTTTTTTTATAATAGTTAAGAGAGCAAGCACAAAAAAAAAACATTTTTCGATTAGAAATATTTTATATAAGGAACTTTAGTCTTTCTGGAGTTTCTTATATCAGAATTCTTGTCTTTCTGGAGTATGAGATGACTACTAAATTATCTTTACTTTTGTTTTCAGTGATCGAGGTTGCATCTGGAGATTATGGGAGCGTGAAAGATACTCTTGTGGAATATACGAACAGAAACATGGATAAAGTGCCCTTCTATGCACCTGCGATGTCAAATGGTCATATCGAAGATCCCCAGCATGATGAAGTGGCTGTAGTTCCTTTGTTAAGCAAGGTGAGCTTTTCGTGGCTATTGTCCGCGGGTAACGTTAAAATGCGTGTCTTTCGAAGGTTTAAACAAACAATGCACGTGTTACATTGACAGGGACGGGGCATCTACCATAACAGGGGTCTCAAACACGCAGCCAGCAAGCATCACGCGGTTGCGAGAATTCCCTTCCCATGCCTCGAGCGCTTCGTGCGCCGTAAATGGTATAGTTTCATATCGACGATTCATTTCCGAGCAAAACAAAGCTCAGCTCATATAACGTAACCGCACATTTTACAACATTTTGTATTCTTTTTTTGGCTAAGTTATGCTTTGTCGAAACATTTACTTCTCAGCCCTTTTCATGCAAATCAACCGGGCTGACAATACCACTAGGCTACAAGCGCGAGCTCTTTGCTCCAGGAAACGCCTCGGCTGCACGAACACTCACTCAGCAAGAGTCTGTGCCAAAGATAAAGCAATGACCTTGGCTTTGTAGCCTTGAGAAACACGTTCCCAATACGAGTATTTTATGATATTGCTTTTCTAACAATCTTCGGGAAAGTAAACATTGCCGTATGAAGAGATATCTTTATCCATGCCCGTTGAGTGAAGTAAATTGTGCGACACGGAACCATAAGTGTGCTCGCTCTTGTTCTATGAAGAACTGCCAGCTAGTTGGCGTTTTGAATTTAGTGATCACATCAAGTGCAGATTTTGAATCATATGAATATGCAAATAAAAACTAAATATGTCACTGGAAAGACGGCGAGCATACAAGAACAAGAGAGCACGAGGGACCTCTTGCAGAAAATCTATGGGGTGTTGCTGGGAGGGTCGGCTGCTTTGCAACCTGAAACAGCATTGCTTTTTTTCTTTGTCTTAAAATACCAAAATATACCCCCCCCCCCCCCCCCCTCTTTCTGTTAGCCCTCGATTATTCGTGGGTGGGCAAACTGGATCCCACATTCGAATGAGTTTGAGACCCCTGAACTAAAGTCACTAACATCTTAGGAAATGCAGGCCGCGACTCAGTATGTTCCCGTTTCTTACTTCGTAATTCCTTCTTCAGTGGTCTTATCGGCCATTGTCGCAATATTGGAGCGATAACAAGGTGCTAGGAAATTGCCATACCCTGTGCTTATTAAGTTCGCACTGATTGTAAGGGTTGGTCCACAGACTTGCAACTGCTTACAACAATCGTAAGCAAACGCGAAAGTGCGAACGGGCCTCAAGACCCAAGAAAATGTGGCACCGTGAGAACTCAAACCTGTCTCTTTCTTTCCAGGAGGATCGAGTGTTTGTAAATACGGTCTCACTCGGCCTTCAAATCAAAGTGCTACTGAAGAGATGTTACCTCTCACTAGTGCGAAATCCCGTGAGTACACAAAAGATTGAATTGCGCGCTGCTTAGTTTTGTCAACATTGTGTGCAGCAAATGACAAACACGGATTATCTAGGTTGTAAGCGAAATGGCGATTTTCATAAATTGACGTTCTCAAGCCTGTTTCTTATGATGCAATTTTGATTGTGATTTCTCAGTTCCGCGGTCGCTCATGCAGAAAAAAAAATACGTGGTGGAGGCTGCGGGGCTCAACGCTGCAGCTGCAAAATCGCAAGAAAAATCGCAACCTGTGAATCAATGCTCAGTCAGAAGCATAAAGCACAGGTTTGGCCGGACGCCATATTTATATTGCGTTAATTTAAAAACCCTTTTATCACAATTTGTTTAAGTACTTGAATTAGGCAAGCAGCTAAAAAAAGAAGCTTTTATGTGCTTCTATTTAAAGAAACCTGGAATCTCTAGTTTCTTGTAAAGCACCTGAAAAAGTCAATCGCTGCAGCCCATGCAGAGAGCTCGGTGACATGAGGCAAGAGCATAGCATGGAAGGAAAAACAACAGACATGGTAACTTAGGAGCCAGAGAAAAACGGGACGAGCAACAGAAAGCTTCAAACTCAGCTAAAATTTCGTTTTTCTCCCGCTCCTGGGTTACCATGTAAGTCTGAACCAGCTCGCTTGTCCTCTTGCTTTATTTTAAAGAAACAAAATGGTAGATAACGATGCAAAATTATTTTATAGAATCTTCTTCCGTTGTATGTGGAATCCAGGGTGTCATAAATGGGGTCATGAATGACCTCGCCGGCGCCCAAACTCTCGTTTTCAATTGTTTACGAACGACCTGAAGAGTTTCTCGTAAGCGCGGATGGCCTTCTAGAGAAAACTATATCTTGTGCAATTATCAGATCGAATCCATTAAGCGTTATGCGTCGGGATTTTCTGGTGCTACTAAAAAATAATTAGGCATGACCTGATTGCCTCACCACCTCGAAATGATTACGAGTACTTAAATTATTAGGAGAATAAAAATTCAAGCGATTCAATTTAGTAACAATATTCCTACCAAGCGAGTTTCACGTACGAGAGTGCCCAACTGAAAGAATTTCAATTAAAACAAATTTAAATATAAACTATGTTGTTTTAGAAAATGTCTTATTATTATTATGTGTATTAATTTCATTCGCCTAAAAATGACTTTAAAAGTTCGGTTGTCAATTTATGAAAATTATCCACCATTCGAGAGGTTGAGGCACAAACGTTACAAACAATGGCATTCCTTAACTTGCAAAAAAAAAAGTTAACCGCTAAATTGCCGTGCTGTAAGGATTTCAACCATTTGGAAAGCTCCGACGAATACTATATTTTATATAGTCCCGAGTTCGTATTAGAAAAGAATTGGAATATATAAAGAAGTATAATATGAAACAGAAATATATCAGTCATCGGAACGTCACCTTATGCGAACTTCAAAACATTTTAGTTCGTCAAAGTGTGATAATTTTTGGCACTAACCAATCTCAGCATATTGAAACTGCCACTACGATCTTATTGTCTGCTGCTATTTCACTCCTTCGACAAACTTGCTTATCTCGTTCTAGATGGTGTTTCATCTCCGTCTGGCCACCCACGTGGCGGTGGGCGTTATTATGGGTCTCCTGTACTACGGCACGGGAAACCGGGCCGACCTATTATTTAACAACGCGACGCTCGTGTTCTTCGCCCTCATGTTCCTCACTTTCACCGGCATGATGCCCGTCGTCCTCGTGTGTGAGTAGTCAAAAGCTAATTCATCATTATTCGAATCGTGGATGCATATGATAAGGTTAAGTGCAATCTTTAATAAATAAATTGTATTGACGTTCTCACTCGTGTACTCACAAGCGATTCGATTGTTCGTCAAATCGTTGACACAAATGATCAGGTCAGGTGCAATCTTTAATAATTATTGTATCTAAGTTTCAACGGTTGCACTCGCAAGCGATTTGATTATTCGTCGAATTGTGGATAAAAGTGACCAGGTGTACAATCTTTAATAAATATAATGTATTGAAGTTTCCACTTCTGTACTCACATGCGATTTTATTATTCTTTAAATAGTGTACACAGATATTCAGGTAAAGCACAACTTTGATAAATATTGTATATAATTTTCTATCAATACTCTCACAAGCGATTTGATTATTAATGGAATCGCGGTTCCAAATGACCAGGCAAAGTGCAATATTTGATAAAAATTGTATTGAAATTTTCACTCACGCAATCACAATCGATTTGATTATTCGTCAAATTGCAGATACAAATGATCAGGCGAAGTGCAATATTTTATAAATATTGTATTGAAGTTTCCACTGATGTAATCACGACCAATTTGATAATTCGTCGGATCGTGAATACAAATTATCAGGTTAAGTGCAATCTTCGACAAATGTTGCACTGAAGTTGCGGCTGATGTCTGCGCCACCAGTGATGTAATGCATGCTGATCAAATTATGTGAAAGCTGTGTTATATTGTAGTTTCCACTGGCGAATTGGTTATCAGGTGACTTAATAAATGCCTATTTCGACCGTGAATACAAACGGTTAGATTAACTTCAAACTGTAATAAATGTCGTATTGAAGTTTTGATATCCGTTACTGCGATCAAATGATTTAATGCATCATTGTTGGGATCGCGGATGTTAACTAGACCAATGTCAAATGTTAATGGATTTTGTAACACCGATGTATTAATTTATTATATATGGTTTAACTGCTCATCAAATACGTTAATATAAAAGTAGAAGTTGCATTTAAAGGAGTTCTTTCTTTATGAAAGAGTAGTATAAGTATGGTGCGAATCTAAATAATTGGCGCATGGTCATTCGCTGAACGTTTTCCGGGGATTGCGCAGATTGATTCACCACTTGCTGTGGACAAAAGTAGACGCACATATATATTTAGCGCGTCGTGGGTACAGATTATCATGGAGCAAGAGTTTAAGTTATGAAGCGTCTGTAATACAGCATGAGGTTATAATGCTATGTTTGAATTGCCTTGTAAATAATATTAAATCTGAAATATATTTAAAAGCGAAATATAAAATACAAAATATGAGACGACGTAAAAGAGAAAATAATTAGAGTAAAAACATAAAGAGGTGACAATTGAATTTTATTTATCGCAGTTGCATTGATTATATTTATACTTCCTCAGACTATTATAATTATTTAAACATAAAAAAGTAAGATAATCTTTGACATATCTTGGAATCTTTGCAGTTCCCCTGGAGGCTTCTGTGTTCACTAGGGAGAGATGTAACTCATGGTACACCCTCAAGGCATATTATCTGGCCAAAACAATTGTTGAGATTCCATTCCAGGTAAGAAACATCTACGTACCAAATTGGATATGTCTATTGGCGTAAATTAAGTACCATAACTTATTACCAGATCGGTGGTCGCTTTAGTCTTTACTGCATGATATACCTAGACAAAGAATAATGTAGAATACGTGCCACAGATCGCACATTGAAATCAGGGGTTTGTGTAACCACCTGCAGGGGTGGTTGCAGAATCGCGTGCATTCATTGTGCTAAGAGCATGGAAGTTTTTTTTTTTTTATCTAATCGTTTATAAAGCATTATAATGGTGGAACAGATGTTCGTTTCAAACTTACAAGTTGGACAACACAGACGTTCAAAATAACCACATCACCTCGACCGACCTTCTTCAAAGATCGCTGGGTGCATGCGCCAACTTTGAGAGATGGTATGGTAATGTCCAGTAAAAAATTCTAAAATTAAAAATGTCGCAATCCCATGTTTGTACATTGACATGGGACAACTGTATGGTTGGAACTGTATATGTGTTATAAAAACCCTTTGGAACCTCTTTTTGAGTGCGGCAGTTTTGCAAAAATGGTTTATGGGATTCAAATCGAATTAATTTATCAAAACAAACGCAAAGATTAAAAAAGGGTTGGAGAAAAGCCTGTGGGGGTCAATTTGAATCCGACGAAGGTCGACGTTTATTTTGTGGGGCGCGTCGAAAACGACCCGCTAAGGGATTTCTATTTCGTGCCGAGCCATCGCTCACACTTGCCTTGAAAGTTGTGGGAATGACTCCGGCAACGATAATAGAACAGAATCCGAAGACGTGCCCACCGAAAGAGGAACAGCCCCTGAAACCTGCCCACTGTACCCTCTTTCTTTGGGGAAAATTTTCAAAATCAGGGGACCTAGGTGTAAAGGGACACTTGAAAAGCAAGTGGGTAACTAAAAAATCTTTGAAATGGTTGGCCAATTCAGCTATACCCTCACTACTTAGGTGTAACCCATCGAAAGACAAAAAACGATGAGGCGTGTCAAAAAAAGAACGGTGATTTAAAAATACTACATTTTCGTAAATAAAAGCGAACTCCCTCAGAAAGAAGTTTAATTCAAAGATTTTTTCGTCAATCCATCGTATGTAGCCTGGTCCACGGGGCCTAAAATTATCCTCCAACCGGGGAGGAACGCTAGAGATAATTATAGTCACGTCCGGTCGTTTTTGCCGAATGTGTAAAATAAGATTATTAAATAAAATGGCGCACTGGAAAGGCGGTAAACGGCAAATATCATTTGACCCGATTTGTAAAAAAAAAATCGAATTGACGTAACGGGGGAAACTGTCTACGATAGAAAAAAATATCCGATATTACGCCACCAGACTACGAAACTACCGTCGGTCCACTACCGTTAAAAATAACAAGAGTGTGCAAATACTTAATAATGGAGGTTCCCACGATGTTAACCGTCTCTAGGGCTGGGAGGGCAGGGGCACGTCCCGAGGCCATGATCAAAGGAGCAGCACCTGGGATAAAAATAAGGCACTCGAGAGAAATATATTCCGACAGATATTGCCCTGAAGGAGATTGTCTTCCGAGTCGAGGAGAGGGTCGCCAAAAAGTTGTGTAACGGATACGTTTCGAGCCTGGTAGGCTCTTCGTCAGTCCAAACAAGAACGCTTCGTTTTCCTTTTCTTTCAATCAAAGAAAAAACGGCCGAAAAAAAGAAGTAATTGGAAAAATGCTTACCGTTTATCGGGTATCTAATCAACTAAATTCTCGCTTAAAAGTTTAACATATCCCAATTAAAAAGCCGTAAATAGTATTGAAGTAATTAAATTTAAAATTATTACCGACATTATTATCACAACAGCAGTTTTTGGGACATCTGGTTGGACATAAGCCGTACCTGGTGTCATGTGAAGCGTGCCGCATTAAACGATGATATATATATGGGTGGTTTCATCTCAAATCGTGCAGGCAAAAAGGGTCGAATTTTTAATTTCGATGAAAAAAATATATCTTATGGCGCCGTTTTTAAAAACGCAGTCGCCGCAAACCGCAAGTTCGTCGGATTTTTTGTTCGCGACTTATGAATTTTTAAAGAGGCCGCGGCGAAAAGCAGTGTTTTTCACACCCGTCGTGGGTCGGATGTTTCGCTTGATCTCCCGCCGTGGATTTTCAGTCCACATTATATTATCTTTTTTAAAGCACTCTGTGGACACATTTAAAAGGCTCAAATACCATAAAATAATTTTAGGCGTTTTGCTTTTTTTCTGTAAAAATGTCAAAAACGCCCCCTCGGTCAATTTTTGACGAACTTTGACAATTAATTACTGGCGATCTACTTGGGTTACATCAATACTTTTTATGTCCACGGAGAGCCCAAAACACGTTCTTTATATGTATTATAAAATGACTTGGCTGTATAAAATATTCTTTGCGGTACGTTTACGTTAATGTTATGTGAAAACCAAAAAGTACCATTTTTGAAATTGATTTTCTCAAAAAACCCATTTTTTATTTTTTTTTTATTTTTTGTTAAAATGTAGATGTGATAGTTTTCTACGCAAAAATCAAGTCTAGAAAGTGTATATTTTGTTTGTATGTTTTATATTTGGGCCTCAATATCGGAAAAAAACGTCTTTGTTTTGCAAGACCCATGTCAGACATTCCGACCCATGCGTCTCTATGAATTGTGAAAAAGTTTTCTTGAATTTTCTTCTGCATTTTGTAATCAATTATAAACGAATTTTGTGGTATTGAATATTTATGTATGTTTTGATAAGAGCGGGAACCACGAGATACATATCTAACCAAATCAGCAGGCCTAGTAGACTTTGAATAACCAAAAGGCACAGACGTTGTATTGTTTCGATTTATAAACCTTTCACAGTAAACTAGCACGACTAGCTAATAGCTGTCATATTACTGAGACAAAGAATTCACCACATCCGTCGATATGTTATATACAATTCTTTCCGAAACCAAACACTGGGGGTTTGTTCACCGCACATGGCACAGGTCACCAGGGAATGTCCTTTTACTTCCGTAATACACAAAATTGGTGACACAGAAACGGTCCGCAACACACAGAGAGTGTGTCATGGAGAGGGGTAGGAAATAAAAATAAATAAATAGGAATTAAATTGCCCAACTGCGGTCTTAGCGAAAATTGCGTTAAAAAAATAAAGTATTTAGGTTGGAGTGGTGGCAAGACGATAGGTCCACGCCTGGTGGAGAGTCAAACAAAGACGTCGACGGCACGTAAAGGTAAAACAAAAAAAAATCAATAATTTAATAAAGACGGGAAAACTCAGCCGCACATGGCAAGAAGATAAACCAACTCCTCCGGGCATTCCCTAAATGGGACGCAACCAAATGCGTGCGAACACGCTCTCTACATCACCGCCTAGGCCGCTACGCCATGACAAAATAAACCCAACAACTGAACAGTGCTAACAAACAGTTAGTAAGAAAACATTGAAAAAAAAAAAAAAAAACCTTCAAAAACGCACCCGAGAAACTAAGTTCAGCGGGGCGAAGAAACACACTCGAGTCGGTCCCACGACACTAAAGTCTGGCAGGATGACGGCGTCCAGATGATGCTCGAATCTGTTTTTCCCTCTGTTACGCACATCCACGACGGCTGTGAGGAGCAGTGGCTGTGCGAAAGAAAGTGAAGAATAGATTCGAGCAGGCGATGCGCGAGAAGGTAACCGAGACTTCGGTTACCTTGAAGCTTCATATCGGCAGAGGAGCTTTCGAGGTAGTTTCTGCAGTTACTCAAACTTTCTCTTTCCCCATCCCTTTTTCGAAAGAGCACGTCAGCCGGCGGTGACTTTTCATCTCGGGAGAAGCCCACTCTTCACAAACGGTTATAGTTGACAAGGAGGCTGACTTCGACCCAACTTGTCTCCGGGCAAAATACAAACACAAGTATATTTACCAACACGCTCGTTTTAATGTCAGTCTCCGGGCTTTGCTGTTTCTAAAAGAGATAGCCCTTTATAAGGACAGAATGAGCGGGTTGGTGGGGATAATTAAACTTAAACAGCCCCTTCTCGTTTTCTTCCTCAAGTTTAATAGATAACCCTTCGGTGCTATCGGATCTCCCCGGAGAGAGAGAGACAGCACGGCCGTTTCAAGGTAAGGATAGGGCGCTCGAAGCTGGGGCAAACAGGCGGTATCGTTTCACGCATGCACGGATGGCTGGTTTCAAATTTTCCCACATCCCTAACGAAACCGGCCCATCTTCGTGGGTGCGTCTGTGGGATTTCTGTCCCGCGCCGCCGGTTTTAGCGCGCACGCGGCGTTGTTTTGGCTGGCAGAACAGTTGTTGACCGTCGATATTGTAAGGCCATGGTGTCCTCATCCTTTCAGGCAACGATTCCTTTGCTTTCCCTTGTGCAATACTCTGACTGACCCCTCCTGGGTGGCTGTCACTGTTCGCCGCGTCAACGACACAATCGTACCATTTCACTCCTCGTGACACAGGGTGCGCTGCTCGCTTTACTGTCACGGGCCGTCCCATCTAACACAACGAGCGCGAAAGGTCGTGGTCATCTGCTGGCTCCGAAAGGGCGGGACGTTCATGCAGGCCAATGAGGGCCCCAAATCAATACGACGTCTGCCGAGTCCTACACGTTAAAAATTAACGACACCTGCTGGTCTGTTAAGAAGTGTTGCTTTCTCTTTTTGGAACTCCTCCCAATGTAGCTTGCCGCCTATAATAAAATTTAAATAATCAATAAATATAACAGGGTGGAAATACTGTACCTCACTTTTATGTGGGAACGTTGAAAAAAAAATAAAAAAAAACTATTTCCAAGCTTGTGAAGACGCGCAATTCGTAAGTCCATTTCGTGCCGTAAAAACATGTTTTTGTACGATATTGATGCTTAAATATAAAACATACAAACAAAATATACACTTTCTAGACTTGAGTTTCGCATAGAACACTATCACATCTACATTTTAACAAAAAATAAAAAAAAAATAAAAAATGGGTTTTTTGAGAAAATCAATTTCAAAAATGGTACTTTTTGGTTTTCACATAACATTAACGTAAACGTACCGCAAAGAATATTTTATACAGCCAAGTCATTTTATAATACATATAAAGAACGTGTTTTGGGCTCTCCGTGGACATAAAAAGTATTAATATAACACAAGTAGATCGCCAGTAATTAATTGTCAAAGTTCGTCAACAATTGACCGAGGGGGCGTTTTTGACATTTTTACAGAAAAAAAGCAAAACGCCTAAAATTATTTTATGGTATTGGAGCCTTTAAAATGTGTCCACAGAGTGCTTTAAAAAATATAATATAATGTGGACTGAAAATCCACGGCGGGAGATCAAGCGAAACATCCGACCCACGACGGGTGTGAAAAACACTGCTTTTCGCCGCGGCCTCTTTAAAAATTCATAAGTCGCGAACAAAAATCCGACGAACTTGCGGTCTGCGGCGACTGCGTTTTTAAAAACGGCGCCATAACATATATTTTTTTCATCGAAATTAAAAATTCGACCCTTTTTGCCTGCACGATTTGAGATGAAACCACCCATATATATATATATATATATATATATATATATATATATATATAACGGGCATGGTGGCGGTAGGCCGAAGGCGTGGGTATAAAACTGGCGAAGGCCGGACTCCGGCCGAAACGTTGAAGATTAAATCATCCATTGTTGCTGTTTTCACTAAGGGTGTTTTCCTTCTCAGTTATATATATATATATATATATATATATATATATATATATACAACGGTCATGGTGGCGGGCAAGGAGGATAGAAGGGTAGGAGAGGGCATGACGCCAACTTCGTAGCCTCCACAAGCCATGCTCCCTTGACGCCTCGCCTCTTTCGCATTTTCCTCCTTACTCTCACCACATCACGTGACCGTAGCAAGCCTTCGTCTAGCTATGGGGTACTAGAACACACCAAAGTCTCGCCTTCGATCTGGTAAAACCTACCGGACGGAGCGCGCGCAAGCCTGCAGGGGTCCTCCTACAATCAACCATCCATCTCACACGTGACATGTCACGCGCACCGATTGCCAGAGAGATCTACGGTCACGTTGGCCACAACATCGTTTAAACTTTTTATGACTAGGCTTCACCAATATTGCAACGTGCCCCCTCCTAGTACTTCTAACCTCCTTGGTGGCGGGAGGCCGAAGGCGTGGGTATATAACTGAGAAGAAAAAACCCTCAGTGAAAACAGCAACAACGGACGATTTATTCTTACCCCGCACGATTTACCCCGCACTTCCAGAAGAATAAGTCGTCCGTTGTTGCTGTTTTCACTAAGGGCTTTTTCTTCTCAGGTATATATATATATATGTGTGTGTGTGTGTGTGTGTGTGTTTTAATGAGCTTCTATTTTTTTTTTCAGATCTTTCATCCCGCCCTTTTCATTTCGATCGTGTACTGGATGACGTCACAGCCCTCCGACTGTTACCGCTACGTCATGTTCACCGCCACATGCGTCCTGGTTTCCTTCGTAGCCCACTCTCTCGGCATGCTCATCGGAGCCATCGCATGCGTGCAGGTGGGTGCAGAAGTTCCTACACCACCCTGCTAATACGTCAGACAAAAGACCGTCGGCAAACGCTGTTGGAGGCCCGTTTCTTTGTTTCGTTGGTTTGTTCTTGTATGGCGGTGTTGCCACATCGGGCATACAAAACTTGCCTTTAGGCATCTTATGACGCATACTTATGCACGAAGCACAGCTGTTTCGAATAATGCCTCAGGTGTGTCAGCATATAATTCCGTCATCATGCGTCTGCACCGAAGAACACTGTACACCCGTGAGCGATATGAAGGTGAACAGCCCTCTCCTTGTTTTTGACGCTCCTGCAAGTTTTGGAACAAGCTCTGTTCCAGAAGAGGGCTAGAAGGCAAAGTTTAGACCCTTGGCCACGTACCATTTGAGACGTTGAGAATTAATATAGCTTTAGGGAGTCGTAAAACAGGCAAGAAACCAGGTAAGGTGTTCACCTTCATATTGCCGGCGGGTGTACCTTTTGTATGATGCATGGGCGGCATAACTACGGCTGAAGAAAGCTGGAGCATCTGCTTTCCATCAAAGTACCTGGGAGGGCCAATTGCTGCAATCTAGGGTGCGAGCACGGAGAATGACGAGGAAGAAAAAAAAAAGTTTATACCTAGAAGAAAACAATCCGCGCGGTAGTACTGCACATGGTGAAACGCCATTGTAGTTAATGGTTAGGTTAATTGGGTGCTAAGTTAGGTTGGTTGGGTCAGGAATGGATTTAAGGGACATACCCGGGGGGGGGGGGGGGGGGGGGGGAGGGGGGAGTTTACGGAGAGGGGTCTGACATCACGGACCGATGAATATTTATTTTGTTGACCTAAAAGCTAATCCTTTCTTCTAAAAAATAAAGCTGGTGTATGCCGTGTTTTTCATAAAAAACGTTACGCTTCAAAACGTACGGGTGGGGGGGGGGAGACTTCCTCCCCCCCTTTTTTATATTTTCCCCTGGGTTGGGTTGCGTTAGGTTAGGTTAGATTGGGTGTACGTATATTTACAGCCTCATCATTGGCTGAGTCGCCTGTGTAGGTTGCAGGGATTGGCTTTTCCTGGGACTCTGAGGGAAATTAAGTAGACGCTGCAAGCGTACGGTGCGACCAGCACCAATACGAGCAAGCAAGGTCCGTGGAGGGTTCCCCTACAAAACTCTATCGCCTTCACTGCGACCGTTGCAGGTTGCGGTGTTCCTGGCTCCGGCAGTGGCCATCCCGTTCATGCTGTTCAGCGGCTTCGTGGTCACGCTCCGAGCCATCCCCCACTACCTGCGCTGGTTCTCGTACGCGTCCTTCCTGCGCTACGCCTACGAAAGCAGCATGCAGGCGCTGTACGGCTACGACCGCCCCGAGCTGGAGTGCCTCGAAGACGACGCGTCGTCGCCCTGCCTCTTCGTGGAACCGAACCTCTTCCTGGACTTCATGGGCCTCCACGAGATGAGCGTGGAAGTGTGCCTGGCAGCGTTGTTGGGCTTCGTCGTGGTCTTGCAGGGGGCCACGTATCTCGCCCTGAGGCACAGGGGCAAGCGTGCCCTTTGAGCCGTCGTCGCACTGACAATACATCGTACGAAAGACAGTCCACGGACAATGGCATGGGCGTGTCCTTTTCTTGTATGACTGTCAGATTGGCCGCGCAAACTGTCTGCAGGCACGTTGGAGACGTTTGAAGCAAGCATGTCTCGAATATGCTTAAGGCGGGTCCGCGTATAATTTTGTCACCGTGTCTGTGAAAAAGGCCGTGTCATTCATATGGTGTTTGAGCAGAGTGACCGTGGCTCGAGGGGATTTCAAACCTACCTCTGACGCTGGATACGAATGGAGGGTGTGTGAAATCCGCGTACACGAGCCGGCAAGCCGGCTCCCACGTGATGCGCGACTAAGCGGATCAGACCGGGCCCATGCGTTGACTACGCGTTCAAAGCATAGATCAAACATTAAACGCACGAAGATTCAACAAACGCCAGATCTGTGTGTTTTTTTTTTTTTCTTTTTATAACAAGGTGTTTTTTTTTTTCGATAAATACCGATCAACTTTGAGAAATAACCCCCAAGCCCATTTTATCAAAAATCGACAAAAAAAAGTTCTGTCTGTCTTCAAATAATAAAAACCGAAAACTTCGGTGAGAAAAACGTAGATCTATAACAATAAATTTTGTTGATCCCGAACAAAGCCCGCACTGAGCTCTCCATGAGGTTGCTCCTTTTTTTCTGCGGGACCACCTCCCTTATTTCGTGTCCTCCTATCGGTACCGGAAAGAATCACGTGCTTGCTGCCTCAAGTTTAAGAAATGTGATGCCCGTGTGCGGCTTTCCTCAACCTTAGCCCTCGATAAACACCGAATTTTTGCCCGACACGAAACTTTCACCCCGAAAATCTGTGGTAAACAATAATCTCCGTAAAAACACCCCCGAATTCGAAGAAAAGTAAAACCCGAAAACAAGGAACCCTTTCTACTAACTACGGCAGCGGGCCGCGCCTCGCAGTTTACAAGGAGCTATAGACCTACCCGGCCGACAATGAATGGATGGATGTACGGGTTAATGGATGGATGGATGAATGGATGGATGGCAATGACTTTATCATTTCCATCGGGCTGTATCATTTCCATCGGGTTAAATTTGCTCCGAATTCTGTCCACTGTTAATTAGTCTACCTCGCCAATTTTGGGCATTATTACATATCTATACCTGTTACAGTGTGACATTATCCGTGGAACCACGTCGTTGCCTGTGTGAGGGGCACGCTCTAAAGAGAAAAAAAAATATTTGAGTTCACTTTCCTGCGGGACAGGTAGACAGCTATTCGCGGGCAACGATGGAATGAAGACAGCAAATTACAAAAGTCTGAACACAATTAGATAAACAAAAAATAAAGAAGAACTGCGATGTGCGAAGAGAAGATGAACAATATATACGTTTCACTCGCTCATAAAAAAGTTTCAGCAGATCGTTCCGATACCTCTGATAGCCCCGATAACGATGCCCGGTAAAGATACGATGTATGCGCAAAGGCTGCGACAGAGTATCTGTTATCGTTATCGGAGTCACCGGAACGATCCACTAAAACTCTGTGTTGTTCGTGTCCACATGGACATTTTTAGATGCAACGGTTCTCTGAGCTTCGCCATTAGGGAGTTTTCGTAGATCGTTTCCGCTGTCCCGCAACACTCTTCGCAACCCGCTACGCTAGCCGGAACTCTACAGTCAAGGCTATCGACGCGCAGGCGCAGTAGCGGCTTCTTCGTTGTGGAAGGCTGAGCGGAGGGGGAAACGTGGTCTACGAAAACTCCCTATTCCCTGTGATCCTTCCCAGCATAGGTCGTCGTGACCGCCGGATTCGCTCTTCTGCAAGAAAACAAATTCAGACTTTCCTTTTTTTTTCAGTAAAGTCATTTGAAACACGCAGTGGACGATAAGGATTTTATTGTACTGCTGAGAAGTGCAACTGGGCGCGAGCAAAAGTGAATCATCAATAGTTTCACCTATATAAGACCCTTTAACTGTTTACGAACATGAACCGCTGCTAGCGTCCAAAGCGACTTTCGGTCTCTCCGTCTTTGCGAACCCATTGACTTTGCTTATGTCGCCAGTGCTAGAAAGCATAAATACTAGACGAACGGCAAAGTTGGAGATTTAGTGAGGGCATTCGGCTGTACGATTTAACATCTTGGAGGAGACAAGTCGGTTTACAAGAATATTCAAGAATTGGAACAGTTCTCGCGCTTCTTGGTTCTTTTGGCATACATGTGGAGAACTGGTGGTTACATGTTTCATCGACGTTTGAAGCAGCAGTGCTAGGGTGGGCTTTGTTCATTATTTTTATGAACCGGATGTTCGGTGGGATGTCAATTACTGGAGCGTCACATGGTGGCGCTTGCAAAGAAAAGGGTCTATACTCCTGGCACCTAATGGCAGACACGTATACCTCCCACATGACATGTAACTTTTGCCATCTCGCGCCGAGCATCTAACTCCACACGTTGAACGTATGTAGTGTGACGCTTCTATGCAATGGTCATTAAGCGCCGTTCAAACACTTAAGACTGAATAGGACCGAGAGCGCCAAGGCCAGTTTTTAAGCCTCTTGCGACGGCGGCACCTGCTTCGTACCAGCGCATCTGGTCCTACGCCGTCGCAAGAGGCATAAAAAACGGTCTTCTGTCTCTCAGCCGTACTCAGTTGCAAGTGTGTGAACGGCTCTTTAGCGGAGAGAAGATGTTGTAAGTTCTCCGCTATCTTTACATGGAATGGGTTGCAGGGCAACCCGGTAAAGCAGTGGACGGGTGGAAGCGTTGCTGTCAGCGGTTCTTCGGAAATTGTGATATTTCTTGTCCCGTTTTCATTGTGCTGAAACTTCTTCCCATTGATTCGAACGTAATAAACGTTGGGCAAATCGCCTGAAGAAACCGATCTTCTCTGACTCATTGAATCCGATGACGTCGCCATACGTTTTTGTATGTTTCTAAAGGCTCTAGTGGTACTCCAATGTCGCGCACAGCGAACGCAGCGTAGCGCAGAACACGCGCATTTCATTGGCCGGCGAGCAGGAACTCGATATCCGCGACCAATCGGTATCTGCGTGCGCTGCGCTACGCCGCGTCTGCTATGCTAGACGTCGTAGTATAAGGGAACCTTTAATGGCACCATCCCGGAAGCTATAGACCGACACCCTGTTTACAAGCAAGCCCGCGTTTGCCCATACAAGGGGTGGTGCCATATGCGACTGTCACTTATGATCGATTGACTTCACATAAAGAGGTATCGTTGTTATTTAGGATGTCAGAAGATGCACAGATAAAAGAGACACGTTGGGCACGACCCCGACTTTCCCTTGTGGTCACCGAGAGCTTGAGAAACAACATGTGGCTTATAATGTTTACGCTTTTTGCCTTGCGAGTTGTCCTTCGTCGTTCTTAACAAATAATACCTCAATTTGAGTTTTTTTTTTTTTTTTTCAATTCATACCTGGAGCGTTGGGTTCAGTATGTTTGTCTAAATGGGAATTCTTCCTCAGTAAAACCGATAAATACTTCGTGGTGTTCCTCGGGGCAGTATATCAGGTCCCTTCCTCTTCAACATGTATGTAAATGACGTCGTAAACATTAACTCAAATGTCAAATTTGTTCAACTATGCCGACGATACAACAATACTTACTTAGGGAGGGGTCTGCGATGTGCTAGTAACTACGGCAAGTCTGACGTTGTCTAAACTGGAATCTTGGAGTCGGGAGAACTAATGTCAAATAAACATAAACAAAACGAAAGCTGTACGTTTTCACACACACAAAAAAAAAAATTAATCGTTCAGATTAACGCGAGATATCGCACTAAATTTGACTCCAATTGAGATTCTGAGTCATTTCAGGGCATTGGGATTATTGTTTTCTCAAAATATGTCCTGGGACAATCACCTTAATTTTATAAACCCCCAACTGTCACGAATAGGTGGTTTTATATACCGTCATTGGTCAATTTTGCCAAAGAACGTGAAATTACTAATCTATACATCACTGTTTTTTTGCCACTTAAATTACTGCCATTTCATCTGGGGCTCATCTAGATTATTCAGTCGTGAGAGGGAATTTTTATTACAAAAGAGGGTGTTGAGGTCCATCGGCGGCGTCCCGTTCGACTCTCATACAGCTGGTGTGTTTACGGCCTCTCCGCGTTATTTATACAATTTACACAACTATAGACTTAGCAATACATTCAAATTGGAGAGCAACAGAAACACGCGTTTTCTTTGAAATTTGGCACATCTCTTCTGTAAAGGAACCGACTTACCTTTCTCATCAAGCAGAAGATTGGAAAATGGTAGCGCGGAGGACAAATTACGGCTCTCAGATGATTAGATATACGCTGCCTAAATTGCTCAACCAGTTTGGTACTAGTGAGTTGGATCTGATTAAAATGTCCTTTAAACAAGGTACAGCATATTTTGTAAACCTAGGTAGGTAAAATACCAGTGATCTGTTGGTTTGTTTAATATCTCCAGGATTACTCCAATTTCTTTAATATGTGTGTTGTGCTCGTATATTATCCACCCGTTTTGTACTTTCGCATGATGTAGCATTTTTTCCAGTATACTTCTGCTGTTGTGCCTCGGTAGGGAGTCGAGAGCTTGGTCAAGCTGTCTTTCACAGCTTTTTTTCTCGACCTCCACAATCAATGTAGATTATTATATTATTATATTATCAGATACGGAGGGATGATGTGGTGCTCGGGACTCGCCGCACCCTTCGTTTCTTAAACTGTCAGTGGCTCTAGACACGGACAACTCAAGAATCACATTACGATCGCGTTTCGAGCCCCTCCGACTGGTGCTTGGGTGTTCCTAGCGGCTGATCGTGGCCATCTCATTGGCTGTAGAGCGATAACCAATGGCTCGCCACACCCCCATATTTCTTAAACTGTCGGCGACTGGGGAACTCTTCGTGCGCACATAAAACAAAAATTGGGCAGGGGATGACTGTTGGAAGTCGCAAAGGTGCTCTCGTCTTCTCATGCTCAGAAAATGACATGTACCACACCATGTTGCATGTTTTTCCTCGTGCCTCCAGTGAAAAAAAAAAAAGTTTGCTCTGGTTTTCTATGCCAGACACACAAACACACACACACACACATATTTTTTTTTTTCATGTATACTG